ACAACAGTGCCAGTTGCACCAAATCTCTGAATAATATTTGGTGGTACACCTACAATGCAAGCAGAGCTAATTTGGACTTTAAGTAGGGAACAAAACAAAGTTAATGAATTCAGTTTAGTAGTTGTTATTATATATTTTTTGTGTGTATGATTTTAGCTTTCTTCTTTTATGGAAAGGTTTTCAAAATTTGAACCTGGAGAACACAAAATATCTTTGGATGAACCCATACCTCCTGTTGTGCATCCTTGCAGGAAAATACCATTTAATCTCTGGAACAAACTGAAAGGTGAACTGGTGCTCATGGAAAAGCTAGGGGCTCATCAAGAAAATACATGAGTGAATTAAAATGGTCAGCTCACTGATGGTTGTGCAAAAACAAAACAGGAACAAAACAAATACAGAAAGAGACAAATGCAGTAGAAACTATGAAAAAACTCAAGAGCATAATACAGAAATGATGGCCAGAAAAAAAACAAAAAAAAACAATTGTCCCACAAAGATACAAGACTACTGGAACTGCAGAGCAGAGCTCACTGTGGTGAATGAAATAGTGTTGAAGGGGAGTAAATTTGTTTTCCTTCTTCACTACTTCAATCAGATGCTCCAAAAGATACACTTGGGTACCTGGAAGAAGTCAAGTGTAAACGCTGAACAAGAGAAGTAATGTAGTGGCCGAGAATTAACCAAGATATCAGCCGGACAACAGCGTCATGTGAGCTTTGTCTCACTGTTACAGCCCCTGGCCTTTTAAGACTGTGCAGGCTTTTCTTATGCAGGTTCAACTCTGACAGATCTTCCTTGTTGGCTGCCTGAGTACTGCAGAGGAGCAGTGACATGTTTGGACCAGCAGAGGAGTGTCAAGCCAATCGGGGTGCTGATGAGGCCCACCTGCACCTTATAAAAGGTTCCTGAAAAGCTTTTTAAAACTTAATCTGACTGGTTTGGGCAGTTTGTAATTTTATTTGTTCTTAACCATTCTTCAAATTGTTGCCCTTATCTTTTTTTGTTTTGTTTCAATTGGGTTAAGCTGTATTGTGTTTTGGGTCTGTTTACCATCTTTTGTGATAAATAATTTTTACCTTCCCCCAAACTGCTCTGGACACATTATTTATGTTACCTCCCCAAGACCCCTAGACCTTGGGGGTGTAACATAATTGGGGGCTTGTTCAGGACACTCTTAGGGTCCCTGTGTCCAGACTTAAGGGGGACACTTTGAGGTTGGCTGTATCCAGGAACCATGTCAGTTCCATTCAGTCTGGAGCGCTTTTTAGCCGACCCCTCTCTTGAGCTTATAGAGAGCTGTTGTAAGTGAATTGCTGCAAATTGTGTAGCATTTTAAGTTGCAGGTCCCAAAACAGGTCCTTATAGGTGACCTAAAGACTCTTATAGTGGATAGGTTGGTGGGGATTGGTGTGATCAAAAAGCCTGATCTCCCTGAGGCTGCTGCAGTGCCAAGCCAACAGGCCTTGTTTGAGAAGGATCTCAAAGATGTTCCTAGTGTGGAGGCAGCAGTGAGTGACCGGGGAAAGACACCTCGTACACTCCCTCGCTATGATCCACTGTCTTCTGTGAGCTCAGAAGGACGAGATGAGGAAAAAGCCCAGGACAGGAGAGCTCAACTGGAGCTAGAGATCAGAAGGCTGGAAATAGAGGCTGATGAGGCTATAACGCTGCGCAAACTTGAGCTGGAGGCCCAGAGTCAAGCGCCCCCTAACTCTGTCACACCAGGTTCCACCTCCATGTCTGCGATGCCATTTGATATTAGTAAGTGTATTTCGTTAGTACCTGCTTTCAGTGAATCTGAGGTTGACTCATACTTTGCAGCATTTGAGCGCGTTGCTGGTGCTTTACAATGGCCTAGGGAAACCTGGCCTCTTTTGTTACAGTGTAAGTTTTCTGGTAAAGCTCATGAGGTGTTGGCAGCGCTTCCTTTAGAGGATAGTTTAGATTACAATCTGGTTAAAGCTGCTGTCTTACAAGCTTATAAGTTGGTTCCAGAAGCATATAGACAAAAGTTTCGACAGCAAAAGAAAACTGCTGGAAAAACTTATGTTGAGTTTGTTAGAGAGAAAGGTGTTCTCTTTGAGTGTGCTGCTTCCAAAGTCAACAATCATGATGCTTTACGTGAGGTAATATTGTTGGAAGACTTTAAGAAGTGTATTCCAGATCGTGTGGTGTTGTATTTAAATGAACAGAAAGTGAACACTCTAGCCTCTGCAGCTGTTCTTGGAGATGAGTATGTGCTTACTCATAAGTCAGCTTTCGTTCTTAATGAAAAGTCACGTGTTAATGCTGTGCCACATACCCGGATGGTTAAAACCGCAGTTCCAAAAAAAGCAAAGAAAGCTGGGAATGTTTCTATTGTCACAAACCTGGACATGTCATCGCTGATTGTTTAGCTTTAAAACACAAAGGGCAGACAAATTTGCAACAGACTAAAGGTGTTGGTTTTGTTAAAAATTAACCCCGCAATAACAGCACTGGTTGTGGTGACAAATTACCTGATCTCTGTCTCAAATGTTTTACCTTTCTCACATGAGAGTGCCTGTGGATACAACTCTGTTCTGAGGGAGATAGAGATGGGCTACGCTCCAAGACCAGTCCACGGGGTTTACATAAAATGAAAACTTGTCACAGGATTTCTTCCTGTTGCTGTTTGCCCAGACTTACCCATAGATGGTGTGGCTATACTAATGGGGAATAACATGGCTGGAGGTCTGGTGCTTCCCAGTTTAGAGGTATTAGATAATCCTTAAAATCAGACAACCCAAGAAACTTCAGATTCTGGGCTGTACCCAGCCTGTGTGGTTACCCGTGCACAGGTACACAAAGACCCTGATATTGCTATTTCTGATTCTATTTTGATGTCTCCATTTTCTATTGAGGAGGAGACAACAACCAAAAGTAACAGCATTCCGTTACTCCCAGATGTGGTGGTGCTGGAGGAGCCTGGTCCACTGTGGGAGAAAGCATCAATCCCTCTCACCAGACAACATTTGTCATCTGCTCAACAAGCTGATGAAACATTAACAAGATGTTTCAAGAATGTGGTAAGTGCTGAACTAGCCAATAAAGAGAAACAAGCTTATATTGTGGAACATGGTGTTTTTATGCATCAATGGTCTTCATCAGGTGCAGGGAGCTCAGACTGGTGTAAAGTTAAACAGATTGT